GGTGTAGTTGCACGAATTAGAGAGGTTGCTCCAGAAATTAATGGTTTCATTGCAACATCCACCGCGAGACCTTTGCCGTCAAGAAAATGCCTGACAATTTAAAATCTGTTAGACTGTTGTGAATTGTATCAAGGCTCGGAAAATTAATTCACATCTGCTTTGCTCTACTAAACAGGCTCACCCCTCTCACTGAAATGGTGCCTTTTTATTTATTTTTTTCTGTAAAACACTTTGAGAAGCCACATTTTAATATATCAAACAAAGTTTATTATTATAATATTTATTATATGTAAGTGTGAGTGTGTGTGCACATGCGCTTATGTTGGTCATTGATAATTTCTGGGGTTCCTATGAGATGGTGACTTGTAGGTGGTACTTGGATGCTTTGGTTGGATTAGGGGTGGTACTTGGTCCAAAAAGTTTGAGAACCACTTGTTTATACCAATCAGTGTTAGAGAATGTGCCATGTCTTTAGGTAGAAAGACCAGCTTACATGGTCTTTCCAAAAGGGTTGTTGAAGTGTGTGACAGAGGGGAATCAGAGTTTGTGTTGCTAGTATGAAGTATTAACTTTTGGGGGTCTGATTTGCTGATTTGCCATGTCAGACCACAGATTGTTATTCCTTGTTAAACATTTATTTATTGGTATGCTTTTATGTGGTTCTCTTTGACTCAAGGTAATCCAGTAGCCAAAGTTGTAGATCCATGTTTTTTTAAAGACGTCTCTGTTTGAGAAATTGTGTTTATACTGTATAATGTATAACTACGAAGATCTAAAATCTATATTTCATAAAACTTAAAGCTGTGATATATGAATTTTGTGGAAGGGAAGCAGTGATAGTGTTTGGCCTTCAGGCCCAGGCTGAGAGCACAGTGGTGTGGAGCAGCAGGGAGCATCAAAATCAGGAGACAAGTTGCACAGCAAGAACATCTTCTGTGCCAGGAGCCTGAATCTTTACCCTAAGCCATTACATTTTTTCATGATGGGTTTCTGAATGTATTAATGTATTTTAATTTGATTTAATTCTCCTTTTCATTTTTGTTGGTATCCTTTGGGTTTGTAAAGATTTTGCCACAGTTAGTTACAAACAGACCATTATCTTATTTTTAAATAAACACAGCTTTTAAAATCACGCCTTAGAGACAAAGCCAAGTGATAGTGTTATTGCAAATGGAAAATTCATGATTGAATCAGGCAGTGGTGCTAGAGGTATTCCTGCCTTAAACTCTACTGCTTTGAGATTTTGCACTTTCAGTATCCAAGTGAATGCAAAATTATTTTCCCAATTTTTTAAAGACATTATTTACAGTATCATTAGAAGACTTTTGGATTACTGCTGCAGTAAAATGGAATTTACCAGTTTCTTATTGCAGTGTTCTGAAATATTCATAGAGTACATGCCACTGTTAGTCAGGAAATAACATGTTCAGTTAAATACAGTACATAAATTAAGTTTCTTTCTGGTGATGCTTGAGTACATATTATGACCAACAGATTCTCAACATCAGTGATGAATGATGAGATGGGTTGGGTTTTTTTTTTTGTTTTGCAGCAAAACCTTTCACGCATTCCCACAGAAAGGGTGGAAAAAACCCATTGAAACTACCCCTTGTTATGAATTGCTAGAACCCCATATCAGTTCCTCCTCTGTTTTTCTCTTTCTTAGTTCCTCCGAACCTGACAGTCCCCAGAGGAAAGTCACCTTTGGTGGCCCAGGAAGGAGAGACAGTGGAGCTTCAGTGCCTTGTTTCAGGGAAACCCAAGCCCATCATCCTCTGGTCCAGGGCGGACAAGGAGGTGCCCATGCCTGATGGCACCATGCAGATGGAGAGCTATGATGGGATCCTGCGCATCGTCAACGTGTCCAGGGAGATGACGGGCTCTTATCGCTGTCAAACCAGCCAGTACAATGGATTTAACGTCAAGCCTAGGGAAGCCATAGTGGAACTCATTGTTCAGTGTGAGTGCATTTTATCTTTGTGTATCTAAAAAACTTTCTAATTGCACTGTTCTCAGTTTATTGAATTTCATATGAACACACTCAGCACATTTATCTTTCAGATTAGCAGTTCCCAAATAATAGAAATCTCCTTTCACTACTCATTAGCAGACGATTTCTGGGGAAAGACCAACTATGAAACTGGGTAACATGCAGCATGGATTTTAGATGTTAGAACAAATAATAGTCACTTGGAGCTAAGTCTGAGTTGTCTGAGTCCCACACTCCCTTGCTACGCTATCCAGTGGCCTCTGCAATTCTGACATTATGACCTAGAAAACTATTCCACAGAAAAATGCATGTACTGTATTGTATTGCATACATTTGTTTTTTCCAGATGGTCTTAACAGCTAGGCCAGTGAATCAGCCTAATGTTGGACAGTGCTTTTAGTGGTGTTTAGTTTGCAATCACATAGAGATACTGTACCACTTTTAAATTCCTGAAGATGGGATGAGCCTTTATCTTTCCAGCTTAGGCCATGCTATCAATTTTCACTGGGGTTGGTATTCTTGATGTCTCAATCGTTAACCCATGTTACATAAATAGCTCTTGCAGTTCTCTAATGACTCCACTCTCTGATTGTGTTGTTGCACAAGGTTTCAGGTTGCCAGTGTGGTGGAATTTTTCATATGTCTGTTGATAACATTCATTGCTTCTAATGAAAATGGTAAACAGTTTTGCTGCTTCTGAAATTTTGAATCAGAGATCAGACGCTACCATGTATAAAGATGTACTGAATTCTTTGAAGTTACCCTGTATGTTTTGCATCAATAGGTACAGTATTACACTGTCATTGTCCAGCCTGTACAGCTGTAGCTTGTTTTTTCTTAATTTTTTCTTTATTCCTTTATTTCAAGGATAATTCACATTTACAATGACAACTTAAAGACCCATTTATAAAAAACATACTGTACAGTATATACTGAGTTATGTTTGCTCAAGAATACAACAGTAGCATCCATATCCATGGGCCTGTGGTCTTCCAGTCTGCTGTCCAGAGTTTCATATCCTTACGTTATATATATTCGAATTTGACTTAGTAATTTATCATAAAGAAACCCACTTCTAATCCCCTTCAGCACTCATGCCTACTCTACAGATGCCATAAAAGATTCAGCATAAAAAATGAGAGTTCATGGATTTGTTCCAGTAATTGTGTTTTATAGAACACTAATTAAAATGAAGCAGGTCAGGAGTCTTTGTTCGTGCTATAGCCCTGTTCTAGCATGTACAGTAACTATGAACGCTAGAGACAGCACAGTGAGCAAAAGTCACAGAGTGTAAGGAAGTATCCTGTGGACTCACTTGCCGTTGTCTGTTGACATTTGGAATTGTCAGAGATTTTGCTTTGCTTGTTTTGATGATGTTGTTGTTTTTGTTTTAAACAGCAACCCGCAACAAGAAATAAAGTTTAAGAATAGCTAGATCTATGAAGGGCCTATTATGTATCACAGAGGTAGATGCAGTCCAGTGAACTAATGACATCTTTTGTAATTTTAATTGGGAACTTAGAGAGGAGAATTCCCACAGGGTTGAGTAATGGAGCTTTCATCCACGTCTTGTATTAAATACGGAGTGGGTATTGATTAGGTCTAGCTTTCATAAGCCACAGCCTGGTATTTATTCCAAAGCTTGATATAAGTGTTCCCTCTCCTACTCTCAAATCTACATACCATGTTTTAATTAAACGGTCTTACAGAACCCCTATTGTGGAGACCTTTGGCTGATAGCTGGGAACTTCAGAATGGGGTTTAGTAGAGGTCATGCATTTATGTGAACAAGTAGGATCTTGATGTTCCCTGTGGCATTTCCACTGAAGGAGCTGTGTGTTGCGAAACACCGGGGCTGTGAAATATTGGTGTGAAGACCTTGTTCTGCTTCTAAGTGTTAAAACATCAGTCTGGTGTGGTAAAGAGGACGTGTGTCAGTAGTCTCAGGCATGAGCAAAAGCAACAGATGCCACTAGAAGACAATAGTGTACATTCTCAGGGCCAAAAGAGTGACAAATATAAAGGTACATATTCTTGTGTGGACACACATAAACTCATTCTCTCACACTTCTGTTAGGAATGGCAGAACTTCCCAAATAAAATGTGAAATTTAGATTAAATGTCTTTTCTTGGAAAGCTTCTTCTCACTCCGAATGCAACATCCAAAGCATGTTATGTTTTTGAAGTGATGGTGGGCTTTTAACGTAGTGAAGAAATGAAGCGAGTAGCAGTTTTCTTCAACCTAAGACAACATCTCAGAGTGTCCTAGAGAAGGCAGGACAAATGATGAACGTGTAACTCTTTAGAGAGCTCAGTTTCCTCTTTTAAATTTATCATATTATTTCAAATAAAAGTGAATAACTATGGATTACTTCTGTAAGAACAAAAAGATTATCCCATGGTTATTAAACATTTGTTTTAAGGTCAAAACACTACTTCCATTTGCTGCTGTAGTTATGGAATGATATTTCTTTACTCTGATATTCTTTACTGTCTTTACTTGGATATCATGTACGTTTATTTCACATCAAGATTCAAATATTCTAGAAAAGTATTGTTTGAATTCTACGCTTTACTTTTTTCTAGTAGAAGAGAGAGGCTAGAAGGCATAAACTGATTGGGAATCATGGTTGACCATTGAAGGTTTTCTTTAAATAAAAGATCTTCTTTCAGAAACTGTTTTTTATCGTGTGCTTTTAAAGGAAATAGTTTGTTGTGCCATGAGGTTTGGCATAATCCTGCTCTAAAATCATTAACTTTCATAGAATCTGGAGATCCATCTCAGTATGCATACTGAAGGATAATGCCTGTGCTTATTTCTATGACTGCTGACCTCTTCTGCCTCTATTAACAGAAAAGGACACAGGCTCATAGAGAGGAGAGATTGCATGTGGGTCTTCCCTATGTCATACCCTGAATTAACACTACCCTGTTAGATTGGCGGGGAAATGAAAAAGCACTTTTCAGAGCGTCTCCTACTCAGTAGCAGTACTAATTCTTAAGCACCATCTGTTAACTCTTTTCCTTTCCTGTTTTTTCCATATACTGTATGTACTTTAATCGTTTTTGTATTTCACCATTTAGCATGGGTTTTTTTCTCCAACAGTACAGAAAATAGCATAATATGTTAATAAACCAGCCACTTTAAATTCACACAACTGTAACTAAATATGTTGCAGTTGCTTGCATATATTTAATTTCAGCATGGAAGATTTGTTTTTTTTTTTAAGTGGAGCTCAACAGGAGAAATAATTCTCTTAAATATTCTTTGATAGTGCCTTTTCCTAAACAGACATAGAAATACAGGTGCAATAAAAATTAATCTGTTATATTGAGTAAAATAAATAGTTTTTCTAGTGAGTAAAGTCATTTTGATTGGATGTCAGAAAATCAATTTTCAAATGCACAGAATCATGTACAATATTAAACAAAAGAGCAAAATGCATCATTTAAGAATTCATTAAATCCCATCAATTAGCTACTCAGGCATTAACTGGCCAATGGCTAATTTCATATAATGAGGCTTGTAATTCATTTATAGATACATACTAATTTATTATTTGTGATCCAGCTTGTACGTGCAGGCCAAGAAACAGATCTTTATAGTGAAAAAGCCTTTTGTTCTTTATTTTGTCCAAATTAAAACTTATTTTGACAATTTAGAGGTACTGTTGTTTTGGAGGAGTTATTTTTGTATATTACCAACTGAAAGTCTAAAGATGATTTAAAATGGTGACTCTTCTTACTTAATAAATGCAACCTTTTCCTCCTCTTGATTTTCCACTGAAATGTAAATAGGCTGTTAATTGTAGGCATATGTCAATTACAAGTATATGTTGAATTGATTAAGATAGTGTACAGTGCACTCTGTAACCAGCTGTTTATGCAACAAGCATTTTGTGGATCATATTTGTTTATTCACAGGATATATCCCTCTCTTTTAACAATCATTGGATATTTACAGTTCATATTTACAGTTAATTTCAGATTTTTTCAGTTAATTTATCCCTGAACCTGTAAACCTTGATACATTGCTTTGTCTCTGCTTAAAACAGAAATGCCCCCTCCTTTTTAGTACAATATTTTAGGTATAATTGATCATTTCTTCATGTCCAGCCCCCTGTGTTACTGGTAAGTTGTAGACTATTTTAAGATTTTGCCCCCGGCCTTCCTGCCGAAATTTAAAAAAAACAAAAGTTAAAATCCAAGCCCTTACTTACAGGTTTTCTCTTTTCTTGAGTGTCTCTTCATTGTGGATATTATATTCCAAATAACATGAGAGAGAAAATAAATACATGTATGAACATATAAAATATGCACATGAAACTTTGTAGTATGCAATGTTGGGAGACATTTATGTGTTGATTTTATTGTAACTGATCTCAATAAAGAATGCATGTCTGGGATGAACTAAAACAAAGAAATATTTCTAATTGTTGTGTAGCTATTTTAGCAAGTGAATTCAAATAAAAAAAGGGATAAAAAAGACAATCCTGAAAACTGCTCACTTGGAATGAGGCCAGCCTCCTAAAACATGGATCTCTGTGTTCTTAAGATCAATAAGGTTGTATTTATTAATGTGTATGAATGGAGAATGCATTGTGATTTAGAAAAAAAGAAAATAAACTACAGCTTACATGAATGAAAAGACACAGATACAAAAAATGTAAATGGCAGAGGACTTAAAACATACTCTGTGTGACTAAAAGCTATTTGGAAACTGTACCCAATTAATGCAGTTTCACTGCATTTATTTTATCTAGGCTGAAACATGTTGAGTAACACACTCGACAGGTGGAAGGGTTAATGACATTTATTGGCACCATAAGTCACTCCAAAAACCACAGGATATTCAATTATGTAGACTGTGATTCAGCTGGATCTACAGTCTGCATGAGAGGCAGTGAAGGATTACAGGAAGCTGCAGGATTTGTCAAAAGATCACAACCTAATCAGATGCAGAGGTTGAT